GATACCCAAAAGAAACAGAACTAATTTTTTGGTGGGCAGAGTTTTTGTAGTGCTGAGTGCATAGAGTGAATATTCCCGAGTCCATAAGCCAAGGGCCATCTCTGAAGAAGGTTAGGACTAGTTTCGGCGAGGTTTATAGCGACAGCTGTTTTATGTGATTGTTGCTTTTGCAATCATTGATTTTTCTGAAGGGCATGCGACACTGAAATTCTGCTTTTGCTTGGAAAAAGTGGAACAGAAACTCTTGAAATGATCATAATGTTCATCTTGAAAATGATCCTTAATTCATCACTGGAAGAGTATGATAGAGACTCAGTTGTGATGTTTGCAGTTTGACTGTCCTGATTTGAATACTCCAATTGTTCTCAAAATAATTTCCTTCTTATTGAAAGTTCACAGATGGCATTCTTTGCCTTCTTAATTTGTTCGTCATCAAACAAAATTTGGTGTTTTAGATCTACATATATTGAACCCAGCAAGATCTCATTGTCTAGCAAACTAGTTTCTCTATTTTACATTGAAGAAATGGTTCCTTCTGCAATAAACTCTTCAGTTCAGGAAGAACAAACATCGCATTCTTCCATTTCACCTCCTCTTAATTTTTCAGATTGTAGCTCTTTTGTGTCTGTATATGGTGTAGAAAGAAGAGTTTCCAATTCTGAAACATCATTCCACAATCTTTTTGAGGATTATCTACATCTTCTAGAAACGTTTTTAATTCTAACAACCTCTATATCATCAAATATATACTTCTCCATTGCGTTGCTTGATCAATAATTGCTCCTTTTCCTGCTGGCTTACTAAGAATGGCATCAATTTTGGGAGTTCTTGCTGGTGTTGCTGCTTATCTAAATTTACCAGTGAGATTTTTAACTAAATGAATCAGTTTAATCACTAATGGAAAATATCACATCCATACTTCTCCCTTATATTTATTTATTATGTCAATAAAATAGAAATTAACTATTTATTAATGTATATAGTCCATAAATAAAAATAATAACTTAGTTTGTCATTAATTTTTTTTCAATATCTTTAACTTCACTTCAAACTGTCCAACAAAAGCTAGAGTTGGAGTTGACCTGTTTGTGGCGATTCCAACTCCGACTCCTTTTACCCAAAAATCTGCCTAACTCCGATTCTGACTCCATGACTCGACTCCACAGCCCTGTTCCTGCTGCAGGTTCTGCTCTATTAATGTGCTTGAGAACAATGTTTTTCCATTACAGTCAAAAGTCGTTAATTTGGACACCCATAATCCGGAATGATCTATAATCCAGACCTCAAAGCTACAAACTTTATGTGCATGCGTCGCATTGACGCATGCGCATGAGACCTTTACGGCTGCAAATATGCGTGTGTGCATGCGCAAAATACGTTTACGAATGTGCGTTTAATGTATAACGGACGGTATAAGCTAAGCTAAAATTATCTAATTTAGTTAATGTTGCAGATTGTGTTATACCTTAATCTTCGAATTGGATCCGGCTTATTATTTTTTGCAGACTGTTAGAGCAATTTTATAAAAGTAAGCTTGAACTTTTGATTATGTCAAATAGAATTTCTGATATATATTTACTAATATGTAAAGGATCTACAAAGCGAAAGTATGTTTCGAAGTCCATTAAACAAAAAGTGGAATTGCTGCAAAAAATGGCATATCCTTTGTTTATCTAACCATTCCGAAATCTGTTTATAAATTTCACGCTGCTGCTCTGCGGCAGGGGGGGGGACGCCTCGGCGCGCGATGAATTGGAAGTTGATCTGTCAGCACTATCCTTATCTTTGTGGCAGATGTTTTTATTTTAATTGGCTTATAATTCTTTACTAAATGTAGTATTTCATCTCGATGTACTCCGTCTTTGATATGATTTAAATCAAATTCCTCGTCATTATAATTCGCTTCCGATAGCGAAGAAAGTGACACAGATGTTATTGAAAACAAAAAAATTTCGATTGACAAATTAGTCGGTATTCTCGAGACAGCAATTATAGGACTTGAACAGCAGAACTTCGTAACTGAACAAGAAATTATGTCTGTTTATAGAATTAAAAAAGAAGTATTATTATCACATAAAAACGAAGCAACTTAAACAACTTACATTGAAAGAAATGTTTAAATAAGTAAACAAATAATATTAAGCTTTTTTTTTTTTTTTTTTTTTTTTTGTAAATTTTGATACCCTTTAGATCATAATTGTTCTTTATTTCATAAATTACGGTTTCATATTTTTAATTTTATAATTTCTGCATGCCATCTTACCAGATTTAAACTGATGATCTATAATGTGGAAAAATCGATAATCCAGAACTGCCAAAGTCCCGACGAGTCCGGATTAACGACTTTTGACTGTAATGCTATGGATTTAACAATATGGGAATGGCCCAGTGACGAAAAGTCTGCAAGAATTGTTTCAAAGAAAAGGCATCATTTCATGATAGAAGCTTACACGAAAAACCACAAGATGAAATTTTGCTTTAGCAGTAACTCAGCAGTGAAATGGTGATGCAGGAAAGAAATCTTTCATGGGAAGAAAGGATTAAGAAGTGAAAATTGGTTCAAAGGGTCAAAAATCCCCTTCCTTCCAGCCGTTAGTTCATCTGTTTTTGGTGTCAGGAAATGGCATCTATTGGATTTTCTGAACTCCAGCTGAAGATGAACCATGGTACAGTTGTAGACTGGAACAGTTACATGCATAAAGTGTGTGCCGCAACTTTAATTGCTTAGCATAAGTTGAAAATCGTCGGATGTGGCAAAATTATTGAAATAGAAGAATGCCTTTTCAGTAAATAAAAGAATAATTTTGGACATGTTCTTCCATCACAGTGGGTTATCGGCGGATTATGCAAAGAATCAAATGAATCTTTCTTAGTCGCTGTTCTAGTTCGATTGGCAAAAACCTTATTGAACGTCATAAAGAAAGATTCTGCAGAGGGAAGCATGATTTGTACTGACTGCTGGAGAAATCATACAAGTCAGATTGAACTGTAAGACTCCGGTTATGAACATTTAACTTCAACAACAACTACAGTTTTGTGGACCCCGAAAGTGGGTGTCATACACAAACAGTAGAGCGGCTGTAGGGCAGTAAGTATTAAATTGCATAATAAACGGCATCGGGACTCTGCTCAAGAGCATTTCGATTCTTATTTGTCCAAGTTTATTCGCAGACATTTGCACAAAAAAACTGAAATTTTCTCTGCTATGTTGATTTCTATGCCTCCTACTGTATTTCAGTTATGTTTGGCCTTTTTTTTTATAAATTCTAATAATAAAAAAATGTATTGTGTGAAATTAATTTTTCATCTAAATTAAAACAATAATCTTAGATAGTTATTAACTGTTGTGCTTCCTTTCTTGCCTTAGGGTTACCGTGATTATTTTTAGCAGCATTGGCATCAACAATAGTTTGGTGATTTTTTACGGTCCCTGTAACAAAATTGTACCAAATAATCTCTTTATTTGGGAATATGTTTACATGTAAATGGCCTTTTCCCCCCACAGTTGACGATTAATAAGAAACAAAAAAGGATTGATCGATGACCATCTATGATCCATGATGAAGATAATTTCTAGTAATTACTGTCCTAGACTACAAATTTTATTGGGCTCAAAATGTCATCCAATATCAAGCTGTAGTAAAAAATAAAAGACATTTATAATCATTTACATACAAACATATGTAAAATAAATTTTATTCCACTTTGAAAATTTTGCCTGAAAACATAGAAAGTTTTCTTAATTTGTTTATTTTTTGTCTCTATTAAAGTAAGCTATTTAATTATAAATTAAGCACGTTAGAACTACTTTAAATAAACATCAGTCTTAAAATTTAATATTTGGCTATCGATGTATTTGTATCACAGAGTGTAACCAACAAAAATGTCTTGCAGGTATCAAACTTTGGATTTCAGCCAGAAACTAAATATAAATTTGAATTTTTTTCCTTTGCGATATTATTATTTATATATGTTTTGAAAAATATTTAGTAAGTGAAATTTAAAATTTATTTAAAATATTTTATTAATGAAAATTTTTTTTGTTAAAAATTTTGGCTCATTTGTTGTTTTTAGATTGTGCATGCAGCCTGCAGGCAATTAATTTAAGCTTGAGAGTACTGCATTACATGTATTATATCCAAACTCCAATCAGTATTCAGAACCTCATTATTGCAGCATGAAAAAACAAATTTGCATGCAGTTTTTGTTAATAATGGAATTCCATTTTTTACTTCTGCTGGAATATGGTCAGGGCCTGAAGCTTTATTGCATAAATTTTTTCATTGCAACTTTAACTTCTTCCAAGATAGAGGGTGGACCATATCTACATCAAAAGTTCTCTTTATTGAGTTAGTATTGAATAGTTCTTTAAAATGGATGGATTGAATATCCTTGAATCCCTCCATTCTTATCACTAAAATTTAAACTCGAATTCTAAATTTCCCTTGTTGTGATAAGAATAGAATAGAAAACTCTGATTTCATTACAACCTTTTAGAAATTCAATATCTGTAAAAACTCCCAGCTTCAAAGAGTAGACCTCCATATTTATAAATTTTCAGGTGATGGGGTACTTGCTATATCAATGACCACTGGGTGGTTCATTTTAATCACCTTTTATGACATGAATGAACTACATTGGGATTAATTTTTCACAGCCAATTACTGCATCAATGGAATCAAATTATCTATTCAGTTTAGTTCTGTTTTCAAATAATGTTTCTTTCCTAGGTAACAATGATAACTTAACCATCAAATGATGCTGCATTAATAAAGGGACTAAAATTTTAAAAATCACATTTTTTTATAACCACATTTAGTTTTTTTTAATATGTTTTATTTATCCATCTTAATCATATAAAAAATTATGGGTCATGGAAAAAATCAATGGAATCAAATAAAAAATTATGAATATTGCAAATAATTCTACACTTTGTTTCTAAATACATTTAACAAAATTTTGAATTGTTTATCTGCAACATATGATTTCCTTCTTTTCAGGACGTTTTGTATTTGTACTAGATATGGCAGACAGACTTATGTATAAAATGTGCCCTTTAGCCACAGCTGGTATTGTAGTTGGGTCAATTTACTGGACTGCTGTTACTTATGGTGCAGTAACAGTAATGCAGGTAAATAATTTTTATTCAGTACAAAGAATTTGTAATTTTGTTTATTTAGTTTTAACTTCAATAGTAGGAAAAATTCATTCTTAGATTACATAATTTTAGAAAAATGTTCTTTACATTTCTAATGAACGTGTTAAAGAAGAAATGTTGCAAGATATAGTTTTTATTTTATAACTTGTGAAATTCTGCATCAAGATTTCTTTCAATTTTTTACTCTGCCACTACTACCACCAAAAAACTTTATTTGACCATATATATTATTTGGCCATATATATGTTAAAAAATTTGATCATGATACCTTTAAATATAGATATTCATCTTGAAATGTATCTAGGCAATTAAGAATATATATTGGAAGAAAAACAATCAAGATACAAAGTGGGATGGTCATTTTTGAATTATAATCAACAAAATATAATTACTCATTGCCTTTTGGAAAAATTCAGGACTTAGGGATCAAACGCTTAGCTATTATGTATGTATATTTCTAGAAATTTCCAACTCCATTTTGTACTGAATCTGTCAGAGCAACAAATTTTCAAGAAGGAATTTCATAGTAAGTTTAGGTTAGTAAGTAAGACTCTAACTGTATATTTTTAGAACGTATTTGGATATTTAAAGAATAAGTCCTTTATAGTTTCTTTAAAGGGAAAGAAAATTATTTTAAGAAATTTAAATTTCTTTTAGAGAAGACCATTTGTGCTGATAGTAAAAGGATATTTTTTTCTTATCTGATACAAAATGAAGAAAAAAAAAGCATGGTGCACAGGTATAAATTAATTACAGTAACTATGTGCTTTTAGAATTTATTTGAATATTTGAAGAAAATGGCCTTTGGGTACTCTGGGATTATCCCATCGACCAATTTCACCAAAGCCAATATTATCGCCAAAAGGTAGCTTCTGCGCCAATAACTGCAAATAAATAACTGTTTAATCCTTGACTACGCAAGTTAGTTTTCTTTAGTGTGTTGAAATACACTGGTTTTTATTATTATTATTATTATTATTATTCTGCAAAATGATTTGAATTTGGGATTTACCTAGCACCGAAGAAAGTGCAGTGGCATATAAAGAGGTGTGATAAATGAGTAGCTATTCGAAAAGGCACGGGGTTGGAGGGTTTTAAACTCCCATGTCTGAGTCCATGTCCAGTTTATTTACTGCTCTTTGCAAGAAGTAACATTAATTGAATGGTAAGAAAAACAGCTGAATTTAACAGAAGAGGCTGTTGTTGATTGGAACAATTATACGGTGGAAGTGTGCACTTAAAGCCTTCTACAACATGATTCGAAAAAATAGGAGGTCGGAACAAAATTGTAAAGATAAATGAGAGCTTTTTTACAAAGCTCATTAGAGAAATAAGAAAGACTTCGGAACTACCTGCAAACACTTGGATTCATATTTAAATGAATTTATGTGGCGGAGAGTGCACAAGCATAATGACTTGTTTGTTTGTGCTTTAAAAGCTGTCAAGGATTTTTGGTCACTGAAATGATTTATGATAATATGCATGGTTAGATTCAAGAATAATTATGTAATTATTAAAAAATATATAGGTTTTTTTACTTTGTTTTGATTCTTTTTGTTACATATATTTTTCTGTTATTATTATTTGATAAATTTAATGTGTTTAGAATGTTTTTTTTATTATGATGGTGCCAAAGGATTTGCACATTTCCGCGATCATTTACAGGTCAACGGGATAATCCCAAAGAACTGGCCTTTATAACCATTTAAAAATATATATTTATTTTAAGAGCTGGGGAGTATTGTTGAGGAAGACTATTTCTGTTGACAAAAAGAAGGACACCAGAATTTGACCATATGGTCTTACAAATGTAGTTCCACCATACTAACTGTACAGTTCTGGGCCAAATTTGATGGAGCACACTCCAGGGCATGGATCCAAGGATCTGTCACCCCTTTTTACCTACCAGCAAACCCTTCGAAAAAAATTTTGGCTGGCCAGTTTTTAAGTATTCTGATACCAAGCAGACGCTATAAACTTACCAATACCAAGGATTTGAACCCGGGTAGATAGATACATTAGCCACCTTTACTAACCACTCAAGATAGCTACTTCTGTGTTTAGCGCCCACCAGTGGCTGAGCACTAGTAGTTTGGTCTGGTGTTCAAATCTCGGCAAATGGGCTGCTAAAAATGTGCATTGCTTTGCCATAATCAAGGAAACGAAACCAAAAGAACCTGTTGACAGTGTTAAAGTTTTTTTTTTTTTTTTTTTCCTAAAGAAAATGAGAAAAACTTCTATGAATATTTATTGGCTGCTTATGCACCAAATATTGCTTGTCGTTCCACATGTTGTACAATTCATCAGAACAACTAATTTAATCACTTTTGATGTTATCCCAAATTCACGAGTTCGGTAGGCTATGGATTGTAGTTCAATTCCTGTTCTTATGATATCAGTTTTGACGAAAATCTTAATATCAGATTGCTAATTTTCCTTCTACTTCACTCTTTAACTTACGCAACAGCTGTAGTCTAATTGAAACAGTGGATTCCTCTTCATAGATTAAAAAAAATGGTAAGCAAAGCAATCAACGAAACATGTGAAAATACCAGCTGTTGATGCTGAAAATTGAGTGCCCGTGTATTCATGGGCTACAATTGCAGGTTTGCCAGTTATCAACTTTTATTTAAGCTTAAATAGTTTTGTTACTTTTTATTATAAATTAGTAGTTGTTAACATGTATGCATTTGATGATAGAGGGAAAAGGAAAAAATTTTGAAATGTTAAAAAGTAGCATGGTGAAATGATGAAGTAGCAGCATATTCACATAAATTTTAGTAGCACAAGTTTGTAAAATGCAACAAATTTGTTAAAAATCGCACAGTCTGGCAATGCTGCTCTACTTTGGCCATAATTGAGTTATTTTCACAACCAGACATTATTTGATTTCGTATCACAAAACATAAAATCCTACAGAAGAAATAGGTGCCTGCATACATATATTATATTATTATATTCCAAGGAAAATATAATGTAAATATATAGATAATATCCTTAATTGAATTTATTCAGTTCTCATTTGCTGATAGGTCCTTAATTTTTATCATTAATGGTCCTTAAGTCTTAAAATTACAATTTCCTTGTGCAGAAATTTGTATGAACTCTGGAGGAAAAATTTAACACTTTTTTTTTTTTTTCCTGTATGCAAAAAATTACATTTAGTGATTTTTGAGTTAAGAATAATTGCTTTGTTATTCAGATAATTCCAGGGCTGATAGATCTGTTGTGGCCATACCAGCCAACCGAACGTAGGTCAAGTAAAATTTTTAGAATTTAGAGAAACATTGAGCAACAAAATTAAGGGATGGCAGAATCTTTTAGAATTAAGGGAGATGTTCGACAGCAGAATTTTTCTACTGTAGAAACTGCACTGGGCCACAAAATTTCTATTGCTGGCTCTGGATAAACTTTAAGTACCGGGTGGCCATAATTAAACTGACAGTGCTCACAGTGTTCTGTAGCGCGATCTATTTGCGAGAATGACGCCACATTTTGTAGGAAGATTAAACAAGGCGGAAGACGAAGGATTCCGCAAAAAAACAAATTAGTTTCAAAAGTCACCGCTAGGGGAATATTTGGCTCTGTGTAATAGAGTGTTAACAAATGCAAATCAATACGGAAATTACCTTTTATTTTGTATTCAAATGAGGTTCAATGTTGTGGACCACATATTGCATTCTGTGCACAGTATGCACAACAGCAGAAAGTAACATGTCTGCAGGAATCTCCCGCACAGTCTGTAATATGTTATCCTTCAACATAGCCAGATCCTGGACCACTCCTTGATAGACCTTGGACTTAAGGTAACCCCATAGCCAAAAATCGCATGAGGTAACATCAGGGGACCGAGGTGGCCATGCAGTTGGAAAGTAGCGGCTAACGACTGTTTCTGTTGTGAATTTCTGTCATAGCATCTGTTGCACCCATACAGGAATGTGTGGAGGGGCTCCATCTTGCATGAAAATGATTTCCCCCAGGCATTGTCTTTGCTGAAGTGCCGGAATGACAAAGCTGTTCAACATGTGGCAATATTTCTCTCTGGTAACAGAAGAGGTTTCCGGTTCTGTCGGGGTAATATTCTCATAGAAGAATGGACCTACGATAAATTCCACTGTGAACCCACACCAAACAGTTACCTTTGGTTTTAATTAATGTAAGGGAATTGCTGTGACTGCATGTGGTGGTTTGTCATCCCAAATTCGGCAGTTCTGGGTATTCACAGTTCCATTTAGGTAAAAGTGGGCCTCGTCTCCCCATCACGGCCAAGCATCATCCACCTCCATTCTGGCAAGAAAGGTGAGAGCAAAAGTCAATCGCTTATCATGGTTGGGTTACAGTAACTCTTGTACACGGCTGATCTTGTACGGATAGAAGTTTATAATCTTTCGTAAGACTTTCCATACCGTACTGTAAAGGCATATCCATATTCCGAGCTACTCCACGAGCGCTAGAGGTGGCAGCAATATTGTTCTGGTCCTCTGTCGACAATCGTCGTGGCAAGCTGCTTCGATTGTATCCTGTGGTACAATATTTCGTCCTCTGCCTGACTGAACCTTCAGAGAACCTGTTTATCTCAAACATCGCAAACCATTGCTTTTAGCCCAATTAACTGTCACAGGGACCATTACCTTTACGCTTTTTTTTTTTTTTTTTTTTTTTTTTTTTGTATGCGAGTTTCTAAAAGCACGAAGGAGCGGCTGACACGTTGGCACTGGTTGAGGTAAAAGAATTTGACCAGTAACGCACGCTCAACTAAAGAAGGAAGACATTGCACATAAACTTTCAATCCGATTGATTTCGAAACGTAACACATTGCCTTTTAAAAAAAACCCAAGCAGCTGGCACTGTGCGAATGGATGTAACTGTGAAGTTTGAATAAAGAACTTCTGCTCAGCATACGTGATATTGCAGATCACGAGACTTTATCGGTGCTTATGTAGATTTTACGCTTTTTTAAAAGTGTTGCTATATTGCGCTTGAACTAAATCAGAAAATGTGCATAATAAAAGGTAATTTTATTCCGTATTAATTTGCATTTGTTAACACTCTATTTTCTATTACACAGCGCCAAATATTCCCCTAGCGGTGACTTTTGGAACTAATTTGTTTTTTCGCGGAATCCTCCGTCTTGTTTAATCTTCCTACAAAATGTGGTGTCATTCTCGCAAATAGATCGCGCTACAGAACACTGTGAGCACTGTCAGTTTAATTATGGCCACTCGGTATATGTGGGAATTTATTTATTTGGAACTCTGATAAATCTTAAGCATGTGAGGGAAATGGGTGTAAGTGTTATGAATAACTAAAGTTACACAATTCAGGCTTAACTTCATCAGCATGCAATAGAAGCAAGCCAAATTTAGAGCTAGGTCTGGTTAGGTGATATGTCTTTCGTGGCCACTCTCATGATACATCGTAAATAATTTATAGTAGACACTAGCTTAGCTTTATGATGGTAGCCTCAATTAGAAAGGTTTTCAAATATTGGGAAAAAAAAAGGGGGCAAATTTCTAATTAATGGAATTCCTGAAGAAAAATGGGGAAATGGTAATATATGAAGATGATACAACAGACGTTTGTCATTGCAATGCCTCAATCATCATTAAACTAATGGATTGCGAAATCGGTAGTATGCTTCTAAATTCAGAAAGTATCGCTACTGTTTATGAAGAAAGGGACATTTCTACATGTCATTTTTGTAGATTTATATTTGGGATTACATTTGTAGATTAACATTTAAATTTGTAGATTAGATCTGGAAGAATCCCAAATCCTGAATCACCACAGTTCCAGCAAGACCAGATCTCAGACTTTGGAGTATAGTTAAAGCCATGACTTAAGTCTCATTTAGGACAAAGATTTGTCTTTTCTCAAAATACATTTTCATCACTTATTCATAGACTCCAACTACTACGGATTCTCCGTAGTTTCTATGGAAATTCATGAAAAACTACGAGCTACGAAAAGTATGGAAAAAACTACGGATTTTACAGAAACAAGAGCAGGAGAACCAGTACGCAAAACGGAACCAACTAATTCATCCGATGATTGGCTGAATACTCGTGTTATCATATATCACGTGTTGAGTGCGTTCCTAGTTTGAAGAATTAGCCAATCGTAGATCAGTAACTCCAACCGTTAACGACTTATCAATAGTTCCACCCAATTGTCTGTCTCCCAGGTTCCTCGCTGATGCGTGTTTAGGCTGCATTCGGCTGCATTGTGTAGTTTATTACTGCGAGAGCTTAGCGTGTGTCTTGTGAACTGTGAATCAGGTGAAAGATTTTTTAATCATAATGCTGCCTCGAACGAAGAAGCCAAAATTTCAAGCAGAAGTTTAAAGATTCATATTCTTCAGAATTTACATTTCTTTCCAGCATTAAAGCGTCCGAAATTTCTGTGAATCACGCACACTGCGTGTATGCAACAAAGACTTCTCATAGTTGCTCATGGCGGAAAAAGATGACTGTAAACGGAATGTGTTTTCTCAAAAGCATATAGAACTTGGCACCGTAAAATCTAAAGAAAATAACAAATTTCTTAATAAAAGATGATGAAACAGATCCTATAAAAGCCGAATGCTATTTTTTCGTTTTTTAATTGAACATAATCTACCGCTTTCTGTTTCGGATCATTCCAAGAGCTTTTCAAAGCAATGTTTCCGGATTCTGCCATAGCAAAAAAATTTAGCTGCGGTCATACCAAAACTGCTGCTATTGTGAAAACGCTTGCAGAAAATACTGTTGCTGATATTATAAAATCAGTGGTGCAGTACATCATTTTCTCTAAGTACTGATGGAAGTAATGATAACAATGATAACAAACTGTACCCATTGGTTATAACATACTAGGAAAGAAAAGGGAGTGATAATTACTCATTGATTTCTATTTTAGAATGCACGAATAATACAGGAGAAGGTATTTTTAATTGTATAATGAAAACTTTAAAAACAAAGGTTTAGAATGGAAAAATTGCTTATCATTTTCTTCAGATAATGCTAGTAATATGATTGGAAAGTTTAAAGGTGTAGCATCATTTATCAAAATGCATCAACCAAGTATAATCACCCGAGGTTGTCCGTGCCACCTCTGCATATAGCTGCCAAAAAAGCTACTGAAAAATTAATTGGCTCAGAAATTGAAATTTTGATAATAGATATATATTTTTACTTGGAGAAAGTTCGAAACGGAGCATAGCTTCAAAGTTGCTCAACAAATTTTGGGACAGAATGCAAAATCTCATAAAATTTTGAAATATTGCAGTACGAGATGGTTGTCTTTTAGAATCTATAACAAGGATTTTGGAACAGTGGGATGCTGTGATAAATTTTTTGGAGATAAACCAGATAACAGTGAGAATGAAGGAAAGAGATTGCAAAACATTAAAAAATTTTACAGTCACCGACCACCAAATTGTATTGTTATTTTTGAAAAATACTTGCCTTTGTTTATAACAGTAAATATTAATTTGCAACAACAAGCTCCTTATATACATAAATTGAGAAGAGAACTTTTTGAACTTTAATGAATTTATTTGTTAGATTCGTAAAACCATCAGTAATTTCTAAAGAAATGAAGATGTTCTCTAACGTCTATTCCATTTCAGAAGTATAGTAAACAAAAAAAAATGAAAATTTAGTGATGGTGCGGAAACAAGACTATTTTAAAAATGCCAAGTTGAATGAAAGTGAAGTGAAATCATTTTTCAATTCTGTGCGAGCTTTTTTTGTAACTGCATGTTCATATATAATTGATAAATTTCCACTGAGTGATCCATTTCTAAAACATGCTGAAGTTGCTGACATCAACTTGAGAACTGAAGTTCTCATTTTCATCTGTTCTTTACTTGATGAATACTTTTCCATCCATTATTGATGAAAAATGTCTTAATCAAGTAGAAATTGAATTTTCCATGTATCAAGTAGATGATTGAAGAAATTGTAGATTTGCGTATTGATATAGCATGGGGAGAAATTGCCAAATTAAAAAATATGAATGGGTGTATTAAATACAAAGTATTGCCTCTGTAATGCTTGCTGTCTTAATAATACCTCATTCAAATGCAGCTTACGAAAGAATTTTTTCTATTGTTAAAAAAATCAGACGGAATTTCGACCAAATTTAGGTCTTAAAACTCTTGAAGCAGTTTTGATTGAAAAAATAAATATGCAGGCAAATGAAGAACTGTGTTAAAAAAACATTCTCAAATCAGAACTTAAGCTTGCTAACATGCTACATATAAATCTTTGCATTCATAAATTATGCGTATTTTGTTTAATACTTATATGTATCATTCTTGGTATTTTAAATTTTATTTCCCTGTAGAAATCATATCCAGAATAAAGATATGATTTATAGCTTCTGATTTTTTCTATGATTAGTAGTGATTTGAAGTACTTTTTATTAGTGAATGCTTGAGGAGTTAAAAAGAAAATTTCTAATTAAATGTTCATATAATTTACAAGGTATATTTTTTAATTATTCAGTTTATATGTATATGGATTTTAAATGTAATAAAATTGATTACAATTAATTATTAATTTAAAATTAATGAATGGTTAATTACAACATACACTACGCGCACATTTTCAAAGTTGTAAAAATGTCGTTCGTGCGTTGACTACTGACAAGGTTTTCTGAAGGTTGGAGTCTATGCTTATTTTAAGAAATCATTTATTTCTTTTAAAATAAATAGTGCTGCAAGCTCCTAATTTTATTATTGCTTCGATATATAAATAAAAATTTGAATCCTTTATTATCAAAAATGGATGTATGCAACCCACTGGAAACTTATGATAATTCTTGTTACATACATATGCGGAACCATAATTAACTCAACAGTACTTCAGCATACTTTTCCCTAATATTAAATTTGCAAGTAATAATTATAATGCTTTCGATTCTTTGCTTTATGATTATTGTAAATAAATATTTTCTTTTTATTGTAGATTCTTGGTCATAAAGAAGGTCTTAGTACTATGGAACATGCAGACCCTCTTGTGTTGTTAGTTGGTCTTCCAACCATTCCAATTATGTTAATATTGGGAAAGATGGTTCGATGGGAGGACTACTTACTAAAGCTATGGAGGCGATATTCAAATAGAATTCCTGGTCTTAAGCAGCTTTTAGGAGGATCATCAGATACTGAAGGAATAGGTATTAGAGATCGGCCACCTCCTGATGTTCCTGCATTTTCTGACCCAGTATCTGTAACTCGAGTTCTTTGTGGTGCATTATTACTCCCAACTATGGCTACTGTGTTTGGCCGTGTATTTTTTAGCCACATCCCTCACAATCCTCAAAGAATTCTTCTCGTAAGTAGTAAACATATTTTTGACATCTCACATAAACGTTATTTTCATTTGCACCCAACTATCATGAACCAGAAGTTTGGTTCAGTGTATTTGACCTTATAAGAAAAATTGATAATCTCACAAAAACGTGTAAAATTCTGAAACGCAAAAAAAAAAGGGGGGGGGAGATCAGCATTGTCACTTCTACCACAGTGTGTAAAAAATGCATATAAATTTTAAAAATAATCTCAAGATTTAATTACAGTCATTATGCTCAGTTATTAAATTTATTGGTCATTCTTTTCAATTTTTGTATACTTTAATAACTTTATATGGTACATTGTTTAGCATAAATATCATGGCTCTGATTCTTTTCATGAATTACACATTTATAACCATGAAAAATTATTTTATTCATAAAAATGGATAATGCAAAATATTGACAAATTTACCTTTAAAGTTTACTTCTGAATAAAAAATAATCTGTGAAATTTTCTGCTGAGCTAATGCAAATTGAGGGAAATTTTTATTCATACTTTTGTCCAAAAATTTGAAAGATTCCATCACATGTTTCTACAGATTGTGTGAATAAAAACTTAACATGTCTTGGCATCCACAGTGGTAGAAAGTTAATTTTCTATGAATTGCATTTCTCATCAGCATAAATATTCTCATCAGCATTTCTCATCTTAATTTCTGTCATTATATATTCATCACTTTGATTTTCATGTGTAACATTGTTAACATGAGTGAAAAACTTCCTTATCACATTCTGAAAATACTGAAATATAATTTTTTACTAGCCATTTAGCAATAGACATATCCCCTTTTCATCATCATCTTCAAAACCCTTTGCTAGACCTGCATAACAAAAACAATTTTGCGTGGTTGATTCTGTAACAAACTGCAATTTTTTTTCCTAGTCTAGCATTCCACCAGAAGGTGAAACACTATAATAGACATGATTTTCAAACTTCTCCAAAAGTACTTAAACTAAGTTGCTTCCCGTAATGGCGTTTCAAGCTCCTAATCATGCCTTGGTTCATAGGTTGCGGCATTAAAGTTGCATTGAAGGGGGGTAATCTTAATTCATTCTCTGAGTTTCTGACATTAATGTGTGCAGTATGGATGTCAGATAGTAAGGGTTGACATCTTTCGCTTTTTCCTGAAAGTCCATCCCACTATTGTAGGTCTTCTTCAATGAGTGTTGGGAGTTTTTTAAGCATCCTGGCTTCTAAGATTTTCCAGTTACCAAAAGCGCCTATGATACTCAGTAACATTCATATTTTCATGCACAAGAATTGTGATTTGTATTTTGGTGATTTTCCGCCAGTGCATCTTTGGCCTTTTAAATGTTAACGTTTGGTTTGGTTTCATCTTGTAGAACAACCGAGCTTTATCAGCTTGGTACTGACAAGATATCCAAAACATTTTTCCCAATCTCTTGACATCTAATCTTGAAATGCTGCCTAATTCTCCAACAGTTTTTCTGGAAGGAATGTTTCTCTTCTTGGACCAATCTAGCCAGCCATTTGAGCACAAAATGTCAGTCTCTCTAAAGCATCTGGACCTTTAACTGAAGCATTTGGTCAGATATTGGCAGATGACAGTTTCTTTAAATAAGAACCATTTCAACAGTACTTGTTCAACATCCTTATGTGTGGTGTTTCTCACCTTTTCCAAACTTGTTTCATGAGCAAAAATGATCAAATCTTTGTTTTTTCGTATGTTACCAATTGTAGATTTGGATAAACTTCATTCCCAGCAGATATCTATTGGGCTACAACCATTTTGTACTTTTCAAATAATATTTACCTTATCTTCAATGCAGAATGATCTACATTTATCCCATGTTGTTGAATTTTTTATATACAACCTAAGTACTAAGAGTTTGGTCAAAGAAGAATAAATGAAATTTATTAAGTAAATAACACTTAAATTGCATGAATTTCATTCTTCCAAGAAAGTTTCAGCATAATTTTTCTTAATAAATCAGAGCCGATAAATCTACTACAGACATTTACAGAAATTTGTATGAATATTCAGCTAATGTATAATCAGTAAATATTTGTATTTAATTTTGTTTTATGTCAAATGTGTTATATTAATAAGTTTATCCACTCGATAGCTTACACATTAAATATTTTCATCAAATTTTTCTATCATGTTTAAAATTACCTTTATAAATTAAATCTTTCCTTCCCTATTCATAATTTTCTCAGAATTAAAAAATGTAATAAAATTACAAAGGGAAATAAGCCAAAGAGCATACAATAGAGGATATTTGAAGAATCATGATGTAAATAGTTGAGCAACCTGAATCATGCACTATAAAGAGAATTTGAGTTCTTTTGAAGATATGTAGTTGTGCAATGTGAAAACTTTCCAGACACTTCCAGTTTTTCATATTTAAAAGTTGGCAGCTGTGGTATGGCTTAAAGTACTGTCTAGCTTAAAGTGGATTTTAGCATTGCACTGTAATCATACGAAAATTAGAGTGCAGTCCCCACCTCTTGATTTTTTATATTTTTGAATTTTTAAGAATTTTTTAAATTATTTTTTGAATAACTTCAGGCTATCTGTAAGATATCATCTGTAAGGTGTAAAAATGCCTTTTTAAGCTTGTTTTCATTTAGTATTTATCTAATTATTTGTAACTACTCAGTAATTATTTTTGCTATTAATGTGTGTGATTTTTAGTTTGTGTGTTGTATGTGTGATATAATAACTGTATGCCTAACAAAATTATTTATTTTAATTTGTTAGAGAAAGATTAAACATTATATACTGCTATATAATGTTATACAAATTTTAATTCTTCTTTTGTTGTATATTTCAGGGTGGAATAACATTTGTAGCTGTTAAAGGAGTTTTAAAAATGTATTTAAGACAGCAGCAATATGTTCGACAGTGTCAACGTAAAATATTGAACTTTGACAGAAGTTCTGTGTATCCTAATTCACCAACCAATTCACAGTCTTCACAAACTAATGACAATTCTAATCCTGATCATTAAAGCTTGGAAATTTTATCGTTATAATTGAAATGTGCTTTCGTTCGGTTTTGGAGAGACATTTCATGTGATTTTTATAGCCAAAAATTTAATCAGAGATTTATATTAAATCAGCCTCTTGATTGGGGTTTCTTTACACTAAATATTCAATGGAATAAATTTTTTGTATGTTTTAAGTAAAGAGGTTATAAAAGGTAGTATAAGGAACTGTCTGGTACTTCATTTTCCTTGCTTTTGGTCAATGCATTTTGAATCCAATATTTGAAAATCAAGTTATTAAAATATTTCATTGATGATGGTGTTGTTAGGAACAGATGTCGTACCCATAGAAAGAAGTGTTTTAAGAAAATAGAAGTTGTATATATATGTCATTATTATTGTTTTACATTGCAGTGTTGGAAAATATTGTATAAAACCAAAGCAAGTTTTGTACAAAATATCATAACTATAGTCTTTTAAGAAAACATTCATTTAATTCACTGAAAACAAGTGAGTGTATTATAGTTTAATCATGTATCAGTTAATAGCTGACTGAGTTAATGTTGCCATATAAACAGTTCTAATTTATTATATTTATTTATAAAAATTATGAAATTTTCTTTTAAATAAACAAGGAATATTTCATATTATATGGGTTTATTTATGAAATTTTGCCTATTTATAGTCTTAAAATACTGATGCCATTTTTATATTTTATTTTCTATTACTTATTTTGAATTAATTTAACTTTTTAAATAATAGAGTTAAAAAAAAGTTTGAAGTAAAAAATTATTATATACATTTTTTAAAGCATTCCCTTGACCAAATAAATACGTTAATTGGTGGAGTTAATGAGTGTGAACAAAGCAGAAAATTATTCAGAACACTTCTGAGATTAAACTTCAGTCTTGCCCAATTCCTTATTTTCTGAAAAGGGAAAATTTTAGATGACATAAATCAGATTGTTTAAAATAACATGTGGAATTTCATGAGCAATACTTTCATGAGAATTGTAATGAAATTAAATATAATTTCCAAAGATTTGTAATTGGAATTCAGGTAACTGTGAATTGATTCTTTTATTGAATATCAAAGCTTACTATGAAACTTAGTATGTAATTAAACTAAATAGCAGCCAAAAAAAAAAAATTTTTTTTTTATACCTAAATAATGTATTTTGAAATTTGGTGCCCAATTTAAAAATGTGAAAAAAATTCTCCCATTTTAAGAATGTATAATTTGCGTGCTACAAATACGTAGTGATTGTTAAAAGTTTTATTGTAGGTTGCGTCGTAGCCCAGTAGGCAGCTAAATCTGTTTCGAAGAAGTTACTACCCTTGTTAAGGCAGTTGTTCCACTGATAAACAAGTTTAAAGATGTCTGTTTAATCGTAGTATTTCATAACATCTGTATAAAACTGTTTGAAGCAGACCACTTTATTTATATGATTTGAACCATTGCTCTTTCGGAGACATTTCCAGCAAACATGAAGTAAAAGAATACAGTACAAAGTCCGAGATCTGGATTCATTGCTGCGACTTTGGCGATTCCGGATTTTGGGATTTTTCCGGATATTAGATCATCACTTTAAATCTATTAAGATGACATGTAGAAATTATAAAATTAAAAATATTAAATGATTTATGAAATAATGAAGCATTTATGATCTAAGAGTCAAAATTTACAAAAAAAAAAAAAAAAAAAAAAAAAAAAGGTTTATTTATTTGTTACTTTATGAAACACTTTTTTTATGTAAATTGTTTTTTTTTTTTTTTTTTTTTTTTTATGCTAATACTTTTCTTCAATTCTATAGACAGACGTAATTTCTTGTTCAGTTACAATAGTTCCGCTGTTCAAGTCCTATAACTTGCTGTGTCGAAAGTACCGACTAACTTTGTCAATCGAAAATTCTTTCGTTTTCGGTAATAACCGTCTGTGTCACTTTCTTCACTATCGGAAGCGGATATTTTCTGGATCTAGAACCATACTGCAGATTTCGCTGTTCCATTAATTGATTGATGATTGGGGCAATTGTCGCCGCAATGAAAAACTTATCTTATATCATCTTCATTTAGTACCGCTTCTCCACAGTTCTTTACAAAATCCAATAACTGGAAAAATTTCATGTTTTAGTTTGCGATGTCCGAAAACCTTTCAAATTCATGCTGCTATCATCTTCATCCTCCTCACCATGAAATATGGTAGATGGCCATAAATTATGCCAAGCATTTTTTAACGTACTTGAAGACACATCCTCCCACGATATTGCGATTTATGATCATTTATGATCTAAAGGGTCAAAATTTACAAAAAAAAAAAAAAAAATTGATATTTATTTGTTTACTTTATGAAACACTTTTTTTTATGTAAATTGTTTAAGTTTTTTTTTTTTTTTTTTTTTTTTTTTTTATGCTAATACTTTTTCTTCAATTCTATAGACAGACGTAATTTCTTGTTCAGTTACAAAGTTCCACTGTTAAGTCCTGTAGTTTCTGTGTCGAGAATTCCGACTAACTTGTCAATCACAATTTTTTCATTTTCAATAACCTCTCTGTCATTTTCTTCACTATCGGGAGTTGTAATTCCTGAATCTAGAACCATAATATAAATTTTGCCGTCTGTTAATTGCTTAATGTTTGGAATATTGTCATTGCAATGAAAAGCTCGTGTTATATCATCATTTATTACTGCTTCTGCACTTTTTTTTTTTTTTTTCTAAAGTATTCTGGAGGCACATCCTGCCACGATCTTATGATGCTCCCCACAGCAGATTTTGCACTAAAATATTTTTTAAATTCTTGAATAGTTGTGCCATTATTCAAGAAGGAGTTTAAAAGTGCTATTTTATATTTGCATTTCAGCGTGTGCACTATTCCGATATCCATAGGTTGAATGATGGATGCACAGTTTGGAGGAAAGAATAACACGGATACATTATCTTTCATTAAAACTTTAAGTGAAATATTAGCCGAACAATTATCTACGATCAGAACAATTTTTGCCTCACTACAATTTGAACAAATTGCAATTATTTTACGTCTCACTAGATGAAAAGAATAAGTTTTACATGTTTTGCTGCATCTTGTGACCACACTAAAGATTAATGAAAGGCAATAACTCACTTTATATTCAGAGATAACTTTTACATGGAGCTGCAATTTTTGGCGAGCCTCCGATATGAAATGATTTTCAAGCCAATCATACATTAACGCTTGTGTTATCAGTGCTCTTATATTTGCATGATATATAATGGAAAAATGTCTACTAATGCTCGAGGTCATGTATTTTTTTTTTTTTTTGATTATGAAAAGTTTACACCTGTGTGTTCTTGCAGCATTTTCACATCTTAAAATTGTTGGTATAGCTTTGGAATCTTTGATACGAGTTGGAGCCATTTCTGTAGAGGTTGTCAAGGTATTTCTTGGTACATATTGCCAGAAAAGACCAGTTTCAACAGCGTTATAAATATGTCCTGGAGATAACATTTCACTATTCTGAAATTTTTAATGACATTATACCGTGGCGATTTTAAAATTTGGCTAACCACTTTGTCGAAAATGTGCACTCAGTTTTTAAGTTAAATTTCTTCATGAAATATTTCGTCTTGAGCCATTGGCATTGGACCCGTTAGTGGCATGCTCTCGTTGTGTCTCTGTCTGACCATTCAATCATCTCTTTGTCATGATCATTGCTTTTGGCATAGCGAATAATTTTTCTGTTATTCATTGCGAGTGGGGGGTCAGAATTCATAAAAAATTCATAAAGTTCCTTTTCCTGTTTTGTCATATACATTTGATTTTCCAATGCCTTGCATAATTTTGAGAGTGATATACCTATATCCATTTGTTGCAGCTGTTCCACTTTTTGTTTAATGGACATCGAAACATGCTTGTGCTTTGTAGATCCTGTTGCAGCTCCAGAATTAGAAACTCCTTTTGACATAATGGAAAGTTCAGACTAGTTTTCATACAGTTGCTGTAATTATAACAGCCTGCAAAAGATAATAAGCTAGATCAAATCAGAAAGTTTTCGTAACAGCACAATCTGCTGTATTAACTGAAATTCTTTGAAATCAGTAAAGTATAATTTTAGTTTAGCTTAACAGACTCTGCTATACATTATTGGCTATGTAGCATGAGACTGGCGACGAAAGACAAAATGTTCCATTAAATTTTGCTTTGCTTCTATCGTGCACTGAGATAATTAAGGCTGAATTGCATTAATTTAGTTATTTATTATACTTGCCTCTAATTCTTGCACATGCTTAAGGCTTATCCGAGTCGTGAATAAATTAAATTGCCACATATACTTAAGCTTACTGAGGGCCGGTGCTAGATATTTTGCCGCCTGATGCAGTCTATGTGAGTCCTAAATTCTGCTAACAAGGGCATCTTTAAGTTCTAAATTTTGCCGCCCCATAATTTTGGGTCCTATTACTTTTCTCAAATTCTAAAAATTTTATCATTCCTTAATTTTGTTACTCGATGCTTCTCTAAATTTCAAAAATGTTGTCTTTCCCTTTATTCTGCTGCCCAGTGCAGCCATACGAGCTCAGTTGCCGGTTCTGGGTTTATGTGAATAAAAAATATGAGTTATTTTTAATTCAAATAGTACTAAATGTAATCTTTTGGCCTATAAGTATCATTAACAAAATCGATTTTTAACATATAGAAAGAAATTTTTGTTAAATTTTTCCTTGTCAACATTTAGCGTATTAAACTTAAATCTGTAATCATCACCAGGTGTAATGTCAACATAAAAGGTTTCCATACTCTTTGTCATTCAAATACTGATATACAAAAAAATTTTTAGGCATCGCTACATGAGTCATCACTCAAGTTGTCTTATGTTGATAAACATATGGTGATGAAAGCAAAATATAGTAAATGATGATTGCCAGATTGGCGTCAGGAATATAAAATATTAGTAGTTGTAAAATAAACTATCTGTGTAGAATGTTATGGTTTGGGATGGTGCCAAGCAGATATGCAGCTACAGGGACAAATTATTGATTACATAAATTTATGCTAAAATGATTGTTTCTTCAAGAATGAGGTATTTTATTTAGTGCCAAAATGAAATTAAGAATTGGGATTCTCCACGGGTTTTCTTACGTGAAAAAATCAATTGCACATGCGTAAAGCATATTTTTTTCTTTTTAATTGTTGGTGACTTTAGGGTTCGGATTTTAGATCATTCCGGATATTGGACGTTCGGATCTCAGACTTTGTACTGTATTACAGTGAAAAATCTCCCATTTAACTGCTTCCGGCTTTTGCCTCATAGTGAAGTAGAATGATACCTACTACACAATAGTTATGTCATCCTACTACCACAAACCATATATTTTAATTGCAGGCTGTAGCTACTCTAGCGTAGTATTATGCTACTGGATAATGTGAAAGAAAAATAAGTATATTTTGAATGCGTTTGGTAACAACATCATGAGTATGGGTACCACATGTTCCATTTAGCTTTATATTGGATTACTTTCACATATCTGCCAGTTTTTACAAAATTTTCATAATTTTTACAATTTACACGTTTTTAAAAATTTTTCGGTTTTTGCAGAGGTGCCAAAAAGTGTACTAGTTTGCTGTTTTTTTCCCTAAATTTCTTTATTTCACATATTTTGGGGAGACATTTGGCCTTTTATTATATCAAAAACAAACTCTTCCCTTTTTTGAATATGAATTATATATTGTGGATCTCTAAATCAGGTAACCTATTAACATTTTGGCCATTTTATGATCAATTTGTATAGAAAAATTTTGATTTGGTGGTTTGGGAAATATGGGACATTTTTTTCATTTAATTATGTTATTTGAGTAAAAATAATATGTTGGAATTACATTTTTTAGAAAAGTAACATAAAAATTAAACAATTTTATTTCTTTTTCATGTTTTAAGTCTTTACTTTTCACTCTGGCAATTCTTTGAACATTCTGGTTCTAAACTCTAAGTAAGTAAATGTAATTAAGCACTCTTTCCAACTTATTTTCTGGCAAAAGCAAAAACAAGCTACTAAAATCATATTAAAATTAATTTCATTTGTCCAGTTTTGTTTTATATGAAAAGAATATTCTCTTTGTCTGATCATTTCAAAGTATTCAAGTAGAGTTAATTTTATAATATTCACTGTATACAGTTTTCTGAATTCTCTGCCTCCCGTCCTAAAAAAAAACTGAGTTTTCTCTTAGAAAGTTTGCAAATATGCATTGGCCACATTATGCAACAGAAGCATTAAGTGCACAAGAAACTTTTTATTTACTCATTGTACTTTATTTCTAGCAAACCAACAATTTACAGTTAGTCAATATATTAAAAAATAAAAATAAATATACCTGCTAATAAATACATTGCTCAACATTGAAAATGCAACACCAAGAAGGTGTGTTCAGAAGTGATGAAATTTGGAAAAAACACAGAGACAGCAAGCAGCAATAAGTGATCTTTATTTCAAAATGATAGTCAGAATACAGAGCGAGCATCGTCGGCTCAGTATGATGTAGGACCACCGCAGACAACAATGCACGAAGAAACACGTATTATTATTTATTTTCCTATTGTTATCTTTACTTCTAACTAATTAATAAAGGTAAAACAAAGCTGCTTACCTTGTCTCAATGGATTCTGCCAGGGCCACTGGTTGAATTCTCCTCTGTGCATCTCTATCTGCGAAATCTTGACGGGAATAATCCATGAATGATAAATACTTTCTTTACACAAACATATTTAATGAAGACGCAAACGGGTTACAGAATATTTACATAATGAAAAGTATTTAAATGTGGCACAACGTAGCATGCGACTTCTCCATTCCGAGTTCTCGTGCAATCTCTAAGTGAGAGTTCATAGTTCGATATGACGTCACTCAGCCATCAGATCTCAGCAAGAGTTGAGTTGCAACATCCTCCGGCCCGGAAGGACAATTTCTGTAATTGTCCTTATTACATTCCAGCTCCACTGGATATAGTAGTTACACTGGTCTTTTAATTGTATGGCCATTTGGCAAGCGGACAGCACAGGCTCTCACCTTGCCATCTCTTCCAGAAAAAGTTTCCATTATGATGCCCATCTTTCACTTCGGCCTTGGAATTTTATCTTCATGCACTAATACAATAGTTCCTTTCTTCAAACAGGTTCCTCTTTTCGCCAGTTTGGAATGATGCAGATTTTAAATTCATCAAATAATCCTCTCTCCATTTTTGCCAGATTCTTTCTACCAGTATCTGTTGATGTCTAAATCGACGTGTAAGACTCTCCTTTGTTGAAGTTAATTTAGAGTTTTCTTGTGGCAATGACAGTAACCGTCTTCCTATTAAGAAGTGACCAGAGGTCAAAGATTCTGGCTGTCGTAGATCTGAGTATATAAATGTTAGAGGTCTGGAGTTTAATATATCTTCCACTTCTGTTATGACTGTCTTTAATTCCCTAAATGTCAAGGATGATTTACCTAGGATTCTCTTCAGAAGAGCCTTCAGAGACTGAACCATATACTCCCAAAAGCCTCCCCACCATGCCGCCCTCTTACTTATAAATTTCCATTTGATTCCTTGCTTAGAGAACTCGTCTTGAAGTTTAACTCATTCAGTAGCTCTAATTCTTTTTTTCGCTCTTTTAAAGGTTTTGGCGTTATCGGTATACACTATTCGGCACAAACTCTTCTCGCTATGAACCGTCTAAATGCAAGCAAAAAGTTTTCTGTGGAAAGGTCAGCTGTAAATTCTAAATGCAATGGCTCTAGTTACAGCACAGGTAAACAGGAAAACGTAGTATGTCTTAGATAATTCTCTTCCACTTTTGACGTACAGTGGACTCGCACAATCTATCCCGAAGTTTTCAAACGGAAAGGCTTCTCAGCATCTGTCTGGTGGGACAGGTGCCATATTTTGCATGACAGGTTTAGTTCAAAATATTTTGCTGACATTGCAATTGTACAGAACACTTTTCATTTTTCGACGAGCCTTCAGCAACCAAAATTTATCTCTTATCTGATTTAAAGTATCTGCTATTTCTCCGTGCCCTACCACCTGATGACTGTGAAGAATAATTAGATCAATCAAATTATCTTGGTCGGGCAGCATGATTGGATGTGCATGTTTGTAATCCAAATTTGAATTTTCTAATCGTCCACCAACACGAATTACACCACTTTTGTCTACAAATGGACTGAGGGACTTCAGTTTTGATTTTTAACCTAATTCCTCGTTGTTCTTCAATGCACGTATTTCATTTGTGAAATTTCGCTCCTGAACACGTTTGATCCAATAAGTTTCTGCCATTTCCAATTCGGTAACCTGCAAACATCCTGATAATTTCGAGGTATTTTTAGCATTGTTGATGAACCTTAAGCACCACGCAGTAATTCGGTAAATTCGGTGTAAATTGCTGTAATTTTGGGCTTTCAGTAAATCTTCGGAAGGTTCGGTAACGCATGAATTTACGAAAACTTCCTTCGATGTTTTTCTTAGTTCCTTGTTGGAATCTTCAATGTTCTTTGTGGAACATAAATTCAGTTTTGGCCAGTGTTCCATTTCTTCTTTTAACCACGTGGGCCCTCGCCACCATATGCTATTTTGCTTCAGATGTTTGACATTTTCACCTCTAGTTAGCAAATCAGCTGGATTATTTTCACCAGGCGTATATCTCCAGTTCAAGACATCTGAATTCTTCTGTATTTCCTTCACTCTGTTCTGAATGAATGGCTTCAATCTTTTCACATCACTTCGAATCCAGTGTAACATTATGCTAGAATCAGTCCACGTATATACAATTAAATCAATGTCCCGAAGTTTCTTTTGGAGGTATTTTGACAAGCGGGAGCCTATCAAAGCACCCATCAATTCCAATCTGGGAAGTGATAATTTTTTCAAAGGTGCTACTCGTGATTTTGATGTAATGAAACTTGTATGAATGACTCGATTTTTGGAGTACCAAAAATACAGAACAGCCTCGTAGGCCTTCTGACTCGCATCTGTGAAACAGTGTAGCATGTAAACCATCCTTTATATCCCTTTTCCCAGCATCTGCAAAAACTGATGTCTTGGTATTTCCAAACTAGAAATATGAGCTAATTTGATCACACCAGCTTTGCCAATTCTTTCTGATATTTTCTGGTATTTCACTGTCCCATGCTATCTTTTGTTGCCATAAATCTTGCAATAAAATCCTAGCTCGAATGGTGTATGGATTTAAAAACCCCAGTGGATCAAAGAAACTACTATGATCTACTATGAGAAAAATCTCAAGATCTTCCCAAGATTTTTAGTGGGTATGTTATCTTATCATTTTGGCATCTTTTACCAAATCTTCAATTTCTATCAAAAATGTGTCATTTGACCTTATTCTATATGTATCCCAATACTTTAGAATAAGTCGAATCTTGTGAAAAATCTTCTTAATTCCATACCTTTTGTAAATTTCTTCCACATGTTAAATCCACCTTCTTTCAGTATGCGTTTAATAAGTTCTGATTCTTCATTTGCTCCAACGAGTAAGTCGTCAACATACATATTTTCAGTTAGCATGGAAAATACGTTCGGATACTGGAAAATAAACTTGTATTTGTCAGCGTGTACATTAAAAGTTGCTCTGAGAAGAAACAGACTAGATGTTGCTCCAAAAGTTACCCTTGTCATACGAAGAGCCTTTGTTTTGGTTCCATTTAATTCACCATCGTTCCTTAAAAACTTGACTGCGTTTCTGTCTTCATCAGCAAGAGAAATCTGCAAGAATACTTGTTCGATATCAGCTGTAAACGCAATTCGATTTTGACGGAACTTAAGAAGCAATTCCAGTATGTCTGGACACATCTTGGGACCTGAATGTAAACAGTCATTTAATGACAAACAATTCTCCACATGTAACGAAGCGTCAAAAACCACACGGAGTTTTGTAGTTTCCTTGTTTTTTCTTATAACGGCTTGATGTGGCATAAAATACAACCAAAAGAGAATATTTTTATTTTTTCTTCTCCAATAACCGGAAGTTTTAATTTTTTACAGATGTCCTCCCTAATAAATGTTTGCTGGGATCCTAAATCAAACAACAAGCGAATGCTTTGCTGGCGCCAATTGCCTGTGTTTATAATTTCAGCTCGTACTCTCAGAAGAAATGAGTTATTTGCTGTTGCGCAATCGGAAACAGAAGAGACTACTGCCCCTTGGACGGGACTCTTGTCTGACGCATTCGTTTCAGCAGAGTGTATCAATGTATGATGTCGTCGATCGCAAATACCACAAGTTAGTTTCGATTTGCACTTTCTCGCTAAATGATACCTTCTAAGACTCATGAAACAAATTTCCCTTTGCTTTAACGCTTCCTTTTTTTCTGGCACAGTCTTTTGACATGATTCTGACGTATTATTTTCAGAGCAGAATAAACAGCTATTAGATAGTGATGTGTTTAACTTAAGCTGAAGGAATTTTACCCTTATTATAATCCCGATTTCTTTCGCTGTCTCGAAAACGTTCTCGAAATTGCCGCTTATTTTCAAAATGGGATTTCCTTTCAGTGACTTCAGAATCTGTTGGCTTAACTAAAAATCCTGTACGTTCTCGACTTTCTATCTCTTTTCTTAAAAAATTTAGCAAATTTTTGTAATTTTTGTCTGGTTATCATCTTCATATTTCCTATTAAATTCTAGTGCTAAATCATTCGGAATCACCTTTATTAATATCGGATATAATAAGGTACTGTACGAATCCGGTAAAATATTACACGATTCTAATCCTCTAATTTGTACTTCACAACGATCATATAATTTTCGAAGTGCTGTCACATCGCAAGACCTTTTAACCGGAGTCAGAGTTAATAAATTGTTCATGTGGGTATCTATTATTAGTTCTTTGCGTCCGAAGCGATTTTTTAATATTTTCATAGCCTTCTCGTAGTTCTCCGCTGTTAACGGCAACCCTTGTATAACAGTTTCTGCTATACCCTTGTATAGCATTGGAAGTAAGAATTGACTTTAAATTTATCTACTGTATGTAGACTTTCGTTTTTGTGTACAGCTGTCTCAAATCGGGCCCAAATCCCGGACCAACTGCACACATCCTTTCCCGAAAATGTTTCCAGGGCCAATTTGGGGAGTTTAATTTTGTTTTACGATTCAGTGACACTTCCACATGAAGTAGAATTAGCGCTATGTGGATTAGTATTTAAATATCTTTTCGCGCGTAATTTCCAAACAATAATTTTACTTTTATACTCTTCTCTAGACATTATTTCATCTTCTAAATTTGTTACATGAATTAATGTTTGAATACCATTATACGCTAAGATTAGTTCTCCTTTACTAATTATCTGAGCAACCATTTCTTCAAATACATTTTTATCCCCCTCATTAGCAATTTCTGTTTCTATCTTATTTTTCAGCCTCGTAATTACTGCTCTTATAGCAGATCGTTTCTTTTTTAATTTTTCTAAATCCATGTTTGCTTAAAGCAAAATCTATTAAATTTCAGTTCAAATTCAACCCAAATAGCCCCACGTTTTGGCGCCACAATATTATTATTTATTTTCCTATCGTTATCGTTACTTCTAACTAATTAATCAAGGTAAAAAAAACTACTTACCGTGTCCCAATGGGTTCTGCCAGGACCACTGGTTGAATTCTCCTCTATGCATCTCTATCTGCAAAATCTTGACTGGAATAATCCATAAATGATAACTACTTTCTTTACACAAACATATTTAATGAAGACGCAAACGGGTTACAGAATATTTACATAATGAAAAGTATTTAAATGTGGCACAACGCAGCGTGCGACTTCTCCGTTCCGAGTTCTCGTGCAATCTTTAAGTGAGAGTTCATAGTTAGAGATGACGTCACTCAGCCATCGGATCTCAGCAAGAGTTGAGTTGCAACAACACGTCTAGGCATAGAGTCAATAAGAGTGCGGATGGTGTTCTGAGGAATGGCTCTCCATTCCCTTTCAAGCATTTACCACAATTCGTCTTCTGAACGAGGCAGGGTCAGAGTCTTCAAATGGCGTCCAATCACATCCCACACATGTTCGATTGGTGACAGGTCAGGAGAGTACGGTGGCCAACGAAGCATATGTATACCTTGCAGAGCATGTTGGCAGATGCTAGCACTATGTGGTCGGGCGTTATCCTGCTGAAAAATTGCATTAGACACCCCCTGAATGTAGGGGATTGCCACCGGCCGCAGTACATTATCCAAGTATCGTTGGGCCGTCATAGTGTCCTGAATACGAACTAGAGGTGATCTGGAATCGTAGGCAATAGCGCCTCAAACCATTATGTCACACGGTGGGGCGTTCCACAGTAACTGCCGGATTAGATCTGTCTCCACGTCGACACGACACACATATGCAGCGACTGTCACTGGCTAAACAGAAGCGTGACTCATCTGAGAACACGACGTTTTGTCGTTCTGTCATCCACATCGCTCCAGTCCCGCACCATTCTAAACATTGGTGTCTATGCTGTGGGGTCAATGGCAGTCTTCTGAACGAATGCCGTGAGTGCAGGCCATGTTCAACCAATCGACGGGAAATGGTTTTGGTCGACACAGGAACATCCAGGGTATCTTGCACATGCTGCAGAATCGTGGTACAAGTGACTTGCGGGACCGCCACAGTTTGTCGGCGGATGACGTCACTCTGGCTGCACCTGCACCCCTCCTTCTTCCCACATTTCCTTGTTCCAACCATGTTCGCCATAGACGATGCACCGTGCTCGCATCGCCTTTTTCAGTCCGATCACCATACCCCTCGTAAAATCGTCTACCTGCTGAAAGTCCCTTCGGTAACTCCTATTACATGTATCCTCCGGGACAAAAACCAACTTTCTTCGATAATTCGTCTGGCAGAAAGAACGACACAAATATTGCCCATTCTGCACGTTCCTTCCCTTATATCTTACTTCACATGCGTAGGAGAGCTGCGCATTTCACGTCATTCGCATAACTCATTGACATGCGTCTACTCTAAAATTTACATAAATTTCTAACCACTCCTCCTTGGTGTTGCATTTTCAATGTCGAGCAGTGTATGATTGTTTGCTCATGGTTAAGTTCAAGTTCAAATTTTATTCAAAGTTAAATGGATGTTTGGTGAACTGTTATTTATGTATTTTTCCCCTGTATATTTGTGCGTGTATATACATGTATATGCGTGTATACACACATATTATATATATATAATATATGTATATACAACATATTTTTAAAATGCAAAATGAAGCATTTTTGAGAAATTATTATAATCTCTGAAGTGTAAAAAAAAAAACAGCTCCTTCTTGAATGATAACAGAATTCTTATTATCTGGGAAAGGGTAGTTGCTCAGACTGTATATAAATTATCTCGTCGAACTAATGTGTGATGAAATCACACATCATTTTATGATATATAGTTTTCATTTTATGTATGAAAAACTATAGTTAAAAAAGGTCTTTCTCTGCTTATGCCTTAAGAGATAAATTTTGAAACTGAAAATTTAAATATGTGTTTAATGAAAGATGCTGAAATTTTAAGAATTACTATGCTAATACTGATCAGGGTTATGACAGCACATAAAAGAAGTGTATGTTGTCTAGGAAAATTTTTCATTGGCTGTATAATTGCATGTTATACTTGAAACAGTTCTTGTTATAAAAAAATTAAATCATAATGAAATAAGATTTCAGCATAAATTATGCTACATGTTTCCCTAAATAGATCTCCAATGTTTATTTTGCCACTAAATTTTAAATTTTAATTTGTTACAGAATTCTATAAAATATTAATTTTTTCCCTCTTTAAATGCTTTTTATGTGCTTTCTTATCAATAATCTTCTAAATAAAGTTGTCTTTATAATTAAATGGTATTATAAAATGTTATTTTTGTTACTTTCATGTGACTAAGTGAGTAGCACATATCAATGCAAAAGAACGCATGGATGTTAAATAACATAAATAGAGAAAGGGGGGAGAGTTTTATGATGGTGTAAAAGTATAAAACTAGTCAACTGCGACATAACTTGTTATTTCATGCCCTCAGAAAGTAGAATTAAAACATATTTAATCCTTTAAGTTTGTACTGAAATTCTTTACCCTATTTTACCGAGTTTAGAAAAATAAAATATATATTTGTATTGTCTACAAAATACATTTCTAAGGACTGAATGTGTGGGGGGGGGAATGCAGTTAATAGTGGAACTTAAAACTGCAACTTTCGGTTTTATGTTACAGCTGTTGTTGGAATTAAAATCATAGCTTCCAGTTTTTAAAAGATCAAAATAATTGCTTACACTAAGTTTTTTTTCTCATTTTAAATTTCTCAGATGCTTCTTAAATTTTTGCGCATAGCAGTTTTCATCAGGTGTGTGAAAATCTGTTTTCAGCTCACATTTCATTTTTAATCAAGTACTTTAACTTTTACATGAAGCATTGCAACTTCTACTGTATTCATCATAATAGCAATGCTTTGATAATGTATGACTTAGCTCAAACTAAAGTGCAGTAAAAAAAAAATTGTTTGCCTATTTGTGTTGATTTTTTATCAAGCTTGTATGCTTATTACATGCCTGCTATATTGCGCTGCACTAAAGATGAATAACTATAGATAATACGATTATTAAATTTTTGATGAGAAAATGGTGTATTGTAAAATTCAGATGTGAGAGGAAAGTAGCATGAAAATGAGAGTTCTGCAACAAGAGGGTTATTGGCATGCCTCTGACCCTCTTGTCGCAGAACCCTCATTTTGATGCTACTGAGGAACTGACTTAAGAAAAAAGGAAAGGAGCCATTCTGTGCCAGAGAACTTTCAAAGCATCAGTGTTTAAAAATAATAATTCCTTTGATTGACAGCATACTTAACAGTACATTCACAATTATAGGATGTAATTATTTGAATTTTTCTATTGTCTGTTATTTTCATTATGTTAATACTCTTTAGTTTATACCGTCTCAGATGGTTAGGTGGCTTAAGAGGGGCTGGCTATCTTGGTGTTGAACTCTATTTCAAAGATTATGTTGGCGCATTTTTACGCCAACGAATCTCGCCAAATCATTGCCTCCTACGATTGAGGCAGCAGACTGAAAAAAGAAATCTAACCGGTCTGACGTGAGCAATTAACCGAAGCATGTAACCGAAGCTCACAATTAAATTGTATTTGCTTCACTGTAAATATTTGTATATGATGTTTTTATAAATAAAATAATTAAAACGAAGCAGTGAAGCTGGTCCGTCGATAAAAAAATAACCTTTAAGAGAAATAAGTTTATTCAGATTAAGATGATCAAGACATAGATGTTTCTGACTGTTTACTTTTGTGTGGAATAAGTCGCTTAAAATGTGTTAATCTAACAAGTCATCTTGAGAGATTGATGGTAGAGCAAGAGGAGTACAAAATCTTGTTTCCATTGTCTGGTATGCTTTTTGTCGTAATTATGGGAGTTTGTATGAATCATGCCTTCATCAAATAACCCAGTCATTTAGTAATTTCAAATCTGTGTTTAATGCCTTCACAGAATTTTTTAAATGAGGTCTTACGATTGACAGATTATTTAACTTGCATTAGGGCAAAGCATGCAAGGGTTATTTGCCTCATGTGGTTGATAGACCAGCATTCAGATTATCTTCAACGTTGTACTCGCTTGTTTCATTTCAAAAAATATTAATTTGCTCGAGTGTTCACTGTACAGTATGAATTTCACCGTACACCTTGTGGGTCATAAAATCCCACCCGTGTAGTAGCTGAGAGATAACATTAAGATTGCTAGTATAATTCTGTGGTAATAAGAATGCATGGGTAAATCTTGAAAATTTCAAATACTTATTTAATTAGGCAGTGTGTGGAATACTTATGCAATTCAACAAACACTGGCTCTTGACTTTCACCACATCTTAAAACTTTTCGTTATTTGAAAAGTGTCCATTTATTATTATATTTTAAGGCAATAAATTTTTTTTTTAATTTTTCTAAAAATTCAGGTTAAAGTATAGCATTTGAAACAGCATTTTTTAATTTAATACACGCAAATGATGCCGGTCATTGTTAGTGAATAAAATTATATCACTTTTGTTTCATAAAATTACAGCTCAACTCAAAATATCTTCAGTTTTGAAAGTCAGTTTTTCAGTTTCCGTTTTGAATGGTGTTTGTTTGCGGTTTCTTTTTCTGAATGTAAAATGATATGAATAGGAAAATATCAGAAAGTTAAGAAATACATTGAAAAATGTCGATTACTGGTTAAGTAATTTTAAAAAAAGCTTAACTAAGAAAGGATTGATAGCAGGTAGAATACTTTCTGAGAAATGGATGTTTGGAGGAATTGGTCGCGAGAATAATGAGTGTTTTATCGTAAGAGTTCCTGATAGAACAGCGGTCACCCTATAAGGTATTTCTCCCACTTCCCTAGCGTGCCTTCGTGGTGTAGTGGTTCTGCACACTGAGCCGGTATTTCAGAGGTCCGTGGTTC